TCCCTTGAGGATGGGGGGGACTAGATGTGAACCACAGAGCTGGGACTAGAATCCAGACCCTCTCTCTTGCTCCCCAGGAGTCTGCCCAGCTGGGGCCCCTAGTATAGAGAAGAGAGGACTAAACTGGGTCAGGAGCCTAGAGTCTGTGTCTCACTCCCCCAGGACTTAGCAAGTCACTTCCTCTAAGTCCTAGTTGCAGATCCTACCTGGCTGGGACAGTGTAGGGAAAGTAACCTGATTCAAAGGTCAGTATGTGGCAGGGCAGAGGTGTGCTGTGGAGACGGCAAGGGGAGCAGCTGCCATCTGAATCCTGGGCCTTGAGCCACCAACTCCATGTTTGAGGAGGGGCAGAGGCCCAGGGCCGCCCAGCAGGGGAGCTTCGGTGCCCTGTTGGACACCTGTGCCCATCCAGCCTCAGCCAAAAATAGAAGGACCTCTCCCTTTCTTTCTCTGAGTTTTTGCTTGCCCACCTGTCCAGTGGGGCACAGGAAGGCAGTTGGAGCCCATAGATGATCCTTGAGGGCCGTGGAGCTCTGACATTCCAAGACTCTGACCCTGTGACCCCATGGCCAGGCCTCCTCCTCCCTCAGGCATCTTGTATATTCAGAGCATCCCTGGCCTGGGCCTGCCTGCCCCAGTACCCCCTTCTCCACAGGGGGGCTTCCCCCATCCCTGCCTCCCTGCTGGCTGTCCAGCCTGTTCCCTGCCTCCAGCCCACAGACCCTCCACAACCTAAACCAGCTGGGTGGCAGCTCCTGCTCTTTGGCCTTGTTCTCACTCAGAAAATGACACGGTCCCCTCGGCACACACACTCCTGCCCCTTAGGCTTCCAAGCCAGAGACAGGGGTGGGGTTCGCCTATGATGCCTCTCTGTACAATCACCAAGTCCTGTCAATCCTCAGCTAGGTAAGTCTCAATCTGTCTGTTTCAATCAGTCCCCACCGTCCTCTCCCACACCCAACCAAACACCCACATGGAGCATTGCAGCAGGGGAGTAGAGTGGCATAGAGCACGGAGCCACATCCCTCACTTTAATCTCTGTCCAGCCCCAACCGGCTCTGTGTTCCCAGGCAAGTTTCTGAGGTGCTCTCTGCCTCAGTTTCCCCCACTTATAAAATGGGAGTGATCATTGTACCTACCTCATAGAGGTGACTGAAGATCGAGTTAGTCAATACACGTCCAGTGTTCAGAATGGTCCCTGGGGCAGTAAATGGTGCAGCAAATGCACAAAATGCATCAGCTTTCTGGTTTGTCTGTGCATGCATGTGAAGGCATGTTCAGGCGAGTTTGGGATTCTCTGTGCACACCTTTTGTGCATGCTGTGCATGCCAGGTGCACATGTGATCTGTTGCACATGGGCAATCTCCATTAGACACCTGAGAGAGCACCTAGGCAGCAATGTGTGCTGTGTACATACGTGCTGGGCACAGCAGGAGCTGGTGCATGTATGTTTTGCATAGGCACGCTCATGTTCAGGGCCTTCATGAGGGCTGGGCACACACACAACCCGTTGTACTTGTATGTGTTTCAGAGGAGCATGTGAATAAGTGCGTAGGCAGACATCTGTGCTGCGTGCTTGTGCTCACCGTGTGCAGGCTCCCCCGCAGTGATGCAGGGCCTCCTCCCTGGCTTGCCTGTGTCGTGGGAGCCTCTGGACCCTGAGGGAGGGAAGCTGCTGCTGGCGGATGTGGCCAAGATGGACTGGATTTATTTAGACTAAGGCGGTGGGAAAGGAGTAGAGGATTGTATATGCCTGGAGAAGGGAAGGCTGGGGCTCTGAGAATGACTCTCAAGCATGCTTGCTCCCCTGGACTTAGGGTACTCACTCTGTTCTCCTAAGGGGTCCCTCTGATTCACTGTGAGGAGCAGGGCATAACCCCCTCTTTGGGCATCTGTTCCTCCAACCTGGCCAGAACAGGAGGAATCCTGAGGGTTTCCTGGTACACAGCACTCTTTTCATAAGAAAAGGGGGACACCTAAGGGTGCCCTCCCTACCTCTACTTCAGGGGCCTCCCTGGATGGGAGACAGTGGCAGATATTGGGGGGAGGTACCTGCTCCCTGACTGTGACAACCAAGCTGTCACAGTTGGTTTTTCCCTAGAGCATCACCCCCCTAAAGAAGGGAAGCTGTCACAGGCAACCCACCAACCCCATCAACTGCCTGTTCCTCCCTGGAGGAGGAAACAAAGTAACCTCTGGGCAGCACACAGAGGTCCAGAAGGCATGGAGTGGACAACTGGGCATGCCAGTGAATCATCCAAGATGGCCCAGGAGGTCATGTCTGGGTTCCCTGAGCTCTACTATAGTTCTCCCTGGTCTTCCATCCTTTGGTATATGGTGGTCCATACCATCCTTCCTTGCCACCTTCCGGGGTTTCGTATCACTAGTTCATTTGGCTGGAAGTCACCCGAAAGACTATTTCTAACTCTTAGTTGTATAGATGGGGAAACTGAGGCCCCCCAGAGGGAAACAACTTGTCAAAGCCCTCTGAGCAAGGCTGTGACCAAACATTCAGGAAAATTCCACCCATGGAATGAATGAGATGAGTGATGGATTCTCATGGGACTCTGGCCTCAGGAATGTAGCCTCAGCCTTCTTGCCAGCCTCCATCTCCTCAAAACACCCCAATGAAGATAATGGCAACTAGAATCTTCTCTTTGGCTAGTCAAGAAGGCAGAGCTTTAGAATAGGGACAGCCCTTTGAGAGGACCTGTCCAAATCTTTCCACGTATGGGTGGGGAAACAGAGTCCTAGAGAGGGCTAGAGACTGGCTCAGTCTCACCATGAATCCACAGTCTTTTACGAAGGGAGCTAAAATGCTCATTTCCTAGAGAGTAAAGCCAGTCCAAGATCCCTGGGGTGCCTACACCCTCTCTAAGTCATCTACACACTCCCTGAGCTTCCTTGGCCAGCCTAGCTTCCCCTCATAGGCTAAATCTGCCTTTTTTCTGTGTGTCTGAGGCATGATTCCACCCCTCTCTGGGCCTCTGCTGCCCATTCAAAAAGGGTTCCTCCTAGCTCAGAGTATCAGCTCTAGGCCTCTCCCAGCCCCAGGCCCAGCAGGAGAGGATCTGAAGGGGAGAGGATCTGGGTGCCAAGTGCTAGAGCCACAAGGGAGCAGGGTCAGGCAGCATGCCATGAGGGCCAGCCCACATGGCCAGCCCAGCCTTCCAGAGCCAGACCAGTCCTGTTGCAGTGACCTCCCATCTCCTGGCCAACAGGCCAAATTCCTCCTTTAGAATAATAAACAGTGTGGCCAGCCAGGGAGGCTGGGAGGGGAGGGGCAAGGAGGCTGAAGTGACCCCCTCCCCCAGCCTTGGCTGCTAATGATTTTCTTTGGCTGAAATCTCAGGCAGGAAGTGGGGAGCCAGAGGGGCACCCACCAAGGGGCACATAGGCCTCTATGGAAGCTGCTGGCTCCACCTTGGCTCTGCTCCCTCCTGCCCAAAGTGGCCTGGTGTCCAGCTGGAGGGGTTGGGGCAGAAGGGAGAAGAGTTGAGGATGCTGTGGAGGGGTATCAGAAGGGCTGGGCTTTAGGCACGGAGCAATTCGGCGGGCAGTATCATTGGGCAGGTGGTTGGAGGGAGAGGAGCAGATTTCCTTAGGTTGCTTCTTGGGATGTTAGTCAGAGCTGGGGTTGGGGGTCCAAGGCTGGACCTGCTGCCAGATGGTATGGACCACCATATACCAAAGGATGGAAGACCAGGGAGAACTATAGTAGAGCTCAGGGAACCCAGACATGACCTCCTGGGCCATCTTGGATGATTCACTGTCCTGCCCCTACCATGGGAATGCAGCCATGTAGGTGGTACACTGCCAGAGCTAGAGACTCAGACCACAGAAGTAGCATCCTGGGGCACAAACCTGGCCCCTTGCCTTGGATCAGAAACTAAAAGGGGTGAGATGGAGAGCTGAGGGCAAGCTGGGTGTGGCCTTAGGAGCGGAGCCAGGCTGGGCAGCCCCACAGCATCACTGCCTTGATACATGGTCACTCCCCACAGGTCTTACTCTGTGACCCCCATCTGCCTCTGGCTTCCTGCTTGTCCATGCTGCAGGCAGAGACCCTTGGCATACCTGGCTCTTGGTAGTTATTTGAGATCTGAGGTATGGTTGTTGAGGCAGGGATAAAGCGAAGACTCAATTCAGTCTCTTCTTCCCTGCTTCTGTCTCTGCCTCTGGCTCAGTCTTTTCATACATCTCCTCTCCCTATCTCCCTGTGACTGCGTCTCATTGTTTCTCTCCACTTCTGTCATCCCGGGTCTTCTGTCTTCCTTTAGGGCAGGCTGTGGAAACTTGGGCAATCTTCTTTGCCTCTCAAAGCCTCAGTTCCCCCATCTGAAACCTGTGGGAGGGGATGGAAGCTTTCCCCTGAGCCCAGCCTCTGGCCCCTCTCCCCTGGGCCTCTAATGCTGCTCTGGGCTAAGTAAAGGGGGCCAGGCCCACCCGCCACATTCCACAGCCCTAACTTCCCCCCTTCCCTTCCCACAGCTCACAGCCGCCTCCATTTCCTGTTGTGCTTGTGGAGCTGTGGGAGTTCTCTGGCTCTACCCCTTCTTCTCCCCCAGGCCTTTCATCACACTTTCCCAAATATTTGTCCTGGCAGATAAGAGCCTGGTATTGGAACTGTCACCTGGAGGACAGGCTGTCAGAACTGGCAGGCCCCTGGACACTGTCCAGCCCAACTTCCCCACCCCCACTGTACACACAGGGAAACTAAGGCCCAGAGACAGGCAGGGGACTCAGCCAAGGCCACATGAGAGTTAGACACAGAGCCCAAATTGGGTCTAGGCACCCTGAGGCCAAGTCCAGTATGGAGGGGAGGTGGCCTGTAGTCATGAGTGCCCTCTTAGCCTTGGGACAGGGTGGCCTATGACTTCAGCCCCTCCAGACACAGAGGCTGGTGGCCCAGGCTGGGGCTTACTTTGTGGGATCTGGTGCTAAGATGGGCCCTGGCACTGCCTCTTCCCATCCTGCTCACTAACCCCTGTTTAACTCTGCAGGACACCATGTGGTTTCCAGGTGTGATGCTGGCTCTGGTCCTCAAAGGTAGGTAAACTACAGGCAGGTTTAGGGGCTCTGGGGAGCTGTTAAGCAGGACCCTGGAGCTAGCAGGGACAGTGCATGATAGCACCAGGGCAAGAGAGTGCAGGAGCACTGCTGTGCTCTTGGGTGTTAATTTCCTGTATGGCCATAGGCCTCTGTGGAGGTTTCCTTCGATTGCCTATCATCAGCTCACAAAGCATCAGTGGACTCCTGCTTGTTTAGAACCATCAGCTCAAATCCTTTATTTGGCCCTCCAGATCCCACCCACACCCCCCACACCCCCCAGTACTTGCCCCTGGCCTCTAGTCTCTCCTCAGTCTGGCTGATTTGGGGCTCTCTGCCCGGATCCCTATTGACTGGGAGCTTTTAGACTCCTGGTGGGCTTCTCTTCACATACCCTGCCCCTCACTACTCCTCTCCAGAAGCTGGGCAGCTGACCACATGATCAATGACAACGAAGGGCCTGCCTAGCAGACTGGTGTTAGATGAGTCCCACTTGTTTGGGCCTCTCCTGATTTTCAGCACCAGGAAGCATAGGGGCACGGCTCACAAACTCCTTCCCCAGAGGAAGTCATGGGAAAGGGGGACCAATTACTTGACACAAACTTCCAACCTCAGTCACCTTTAGCCCACTCAGAGTTTCTAAGCCCCTCCCTCTGGCTTTGGGCAGAGTTTCTAAGCCCCTCCCTCTGGCTTTGGGCAGTTTCTAAGCCCCTCCCTCTGGCTTTGGGCAGAGTTTCTACGCCCCTCCCTCTGGCTTGGGGCAGTTTCTAAGCCCCTCCCTCTGGCTTTGGGCAGTTTCTAAGCCCCTCCCTCTGGCTTTGGGCAGTTTCTAAGCCCCTCCCTCTAGCTTTGGGCAGTTTCTAAGCCCCTCCCTCTGGCTTTGGGCAGAGTTTCTAAGCCCCTCCCTCTAGCTTTGGGCAGTTTCTAAGCCCTTCCCTCTGGCTTTGGGCAGTTTCTAAGCCTCTCCCTCTGGCTTTGGGCAGAGTTTCTAAGCCCCTCCCTCTGGCTTTGGGCAGAACCTGGGCAGCTGAGTCAGCTGCAGGGGAGAGGCTCAAAGTGACCTGGGAAGTAATGAAGGAACTGCAGGCCGGGGAATTGCTTCCCGAGGATTTCCTGACCCCTTCTAGTACCTACTGTATGCACACAGCACTGCTGAAGGACCTGGAGGCTGAGGGTCTATAGGGACTGAGACAGGAGGTCAGGAGGAGCCCCAAGGGCCCTCACACTGGGTGAGCAGGCCTCAGAGCTGTGGGTACAGGGTTCTGATCTACACTGCACAAAGGGTGTGTTCTTCAAGGACTTGAGGTCTGTGCATATGTGGCTTCCCCCCCCAGAGTCAGCTCTGGGAGAGGTGCTGAGGCCCCTGTGCCCTGATGTCTGACACCTCCTCTCCCAAAGGCCAATTGCTGGTGCTGCCCCTGCTGTTACTGCTGGAACCACAGATCTCTCAGGGCCTGGTCATCACACCTCCAGGACCAGAGCTTGTCCTTAATATATCCAGCACCTTTGTTCTGACCTGCTCGGGTTCAGCTCCAGTAGTGTGGGAACGAATGTCCCAGGAGCCCTTACAGGAAATGACTATGACCCAGGATGGCACCTTCTCCAGCATGCTGACACTGACCAATGTCACTGGACTAGACACGGGAGAATACTTTTGCACCTACAATGACTCCCATGGTTTGGAGTCTGGTGAGCGGAAACGGCTCTACATCTTTGTGCCAGGTAAGGGCTCCATTGTGATTGGAAATGAGGTGGTCACCTTTAAGTGTGCCCTTTTCCTACCCTTCTTCTCAAGTGAGGGAATCAGGGAAGCTCAGAGTGCTTTAGTGATGTTGCAAAATGCAGCTATCTTAGAAACGCAGACAAATCAAGGAATCCAGCCTGGCTCGGTCCAGGAGTGTGTTTGCTCCCACTCCTTGCTCCAGATATCTGTCTGCTCCCTGCCAGCCCACCCATTCCTGCCTCCAGAGAACTCTATATTCTCAACTGGTTCCAGTCTGCTCCCTGGTGGCCCCTCATCTTCCCCATTTTCCAAGCTCCAGGTATCAGCTGTGCTTCAACTTGTGGCTTGTCTTCTTTCTTACCCTGGCACTGTCAATATCAAATGTTAGAGCTGGAAGGGACTTCTGGGAGAGTTCTTATTCTACAGTGGTGAGTCTGAAGGCCAGAGAGAGGAAAGGCTTGCTTTGAGTTACATGGCTATTCAGAGGATAGCCGGACAACCCAGTTCCCCTGACCCTCATTCATGGCTTCACCCTGGCAGATCCCACCATGGGCTTCCTCCCAAATGACCCTGAGGAACTATTCATCTTTCTTACGGAAATAACTGAGATCACAATTCCATGCCGAGTGACAGACCCACAGCTGGTGGTGACACTGCATGAGAAGAAAGTGGATGTCCCGCTGCCTGTCCCTTATGACCACCAACGTGGCTTTTCTGGCACCTTTGAGGATAGGAGCTACATCTGCAAAACCACCATTGGAGACAGGGAGGTGGATTCTGATGCCTACTATGTCTACAGACTCCAGGGTGAGCCCCCTTTCTGGCCTGATGCTCAGCAGAGGCAAGTATAAGCCTTCACAGAGGCATAGCCCTTTCCAGTTTACAAGGAGACTGTATTTTTCCTTGGATTCTCACTATCACCTTGGAAAGGAGTTAGAGTTTCCCCCATTAGGTGAAGGGGGAACCCTATTATTTCCCTATACAGATGAGGAAACTCAGGCTCAGAGAGAGGATGGAGTTTGCCCACTGCCCCAGAATGTGTTGGTGGCTGAGTTGGGCTATATAACATAGTGGGCAAAGGCATAGGCTTTGGAGCTAGTTGGGTTTAAATCCCAGCTTTGCCATTTCTCATCTGAGTGGCTTTACACAAAGCACATAATCTCTCTAAGCCTGCTTCCTCCTCTGTAAAGTGTGGATAATAATGGCAGCCTACCTCACAGGATTATTGTGAAATAAAACAAAAGATGGAAGGTCCATGGTGTGTGCTCAATAACCATCCCTTGTACTTAGATCCCCAGAGAGTCTTTTGATTTCTAGACTGTTATTCTAGAATATCAGCTCCATGAAGACAAGATTTTGTCTATTTTGTTCAACCCTGTAGCCCCAGTGCCTAGAATAGTACTTGGCATGTAGAGGTATTCAATAAACATTTGCCAAATGAATGAATCTTCTATACCAGCTATCCCTTCCCTGTCTGGACCCCTACCCCATCACCAAGGTGTAGTACTGGTGGCTGGTGGTGACTTCTCCAGCCCTAAGCCGGTCTTTTCCCATCAGTGTCATCCATCAATGTCTCAGTGAACGCAGTGCAGACTGTGGTCCGCCAGGGTGAGAACATCACTGTTATGTGCATTGTGATTGGAAATGAGGTGGTCAACTTTGAGTGGACATATCCCCGAAAGGAGGTAATGCTGGGTCACGGGATGAGGAGGGGCCAGGCAGGGATGGATGGATATCTTGGCTTGCAGACTGATTTCTCATGGACCCCTCCTGATTCGGGGGGACCTGTACCTCCTGTGCCTGCAGAGTGGGCGGCTGGTGGAGCCAGTGACCGACTTTCTCATGGATATGCCCTACCACATCCTCTCCATCCTGCATATCCCCAATGCCGAGCTAGGCGACTCAGGCACCTACATCTGCAATGTGTCAGAGAGTGTGAACGACCATCAAGATGAAAAGGCCATCAATGTCACTGTGGTTGGTGCGTGCTTTGGGCCCAGCCCCAGCCCCCAGCCTGAGCTGGACCCAGAACCTGGATCCAGAACCTATCACAGGCCAGGGGTACAGTCAGCCACACTCCAGTACCGCCCTAGCTTTTGCGCCAACCAAAGCCCCAACTTGGTGATAAATCCAAACCAAAGTGCAGTGTCAGCCCAGAATCTAACCCTAGCTCAACTTAGACTTTCTGCCTAGTCGAACCCCAGTCCCAACGTGATTTCTCATCCTAATGGCCATCCCAAGCCTGGCAGCACAGTCCCTAAATTAAACCTCAGTACTAGCTCAGGCTCCAAGTTACTTCAGCCACAGCATGGAGCCCAAACCAAGAACTGCAACTCCAGGCTCAACCTCAAAGCCAGCCTCAACATCAACATCAGCCTCAAATTTGGCCCCTTCTCCAGGCCCACCCAGTCTGGGTCCCAGCTTCAACTCCGGCTCTGGTGACTCCCTCCCCCACTGGGTTCTTAAAGCCTAAAGCCCCCACCCCGAAGTCTGGGCTGCTTTGGCAGTCAGTTGATGCCCCACCTCCAGGAATCCCGTCCCGGGACAGGTGCTGCCCCATTGGTGGCCGGGCATAGCCGTGCCTCAGGGTCCCGCCTCTGACCCCCACCCTTTGCAGAGAGCGGCTTCGTGCGGTTGCTCGAAGATGTGGGCCCTTTACAATTCGCTGAACTACACCGGAGTCGGACACTGCATGTGGTATTTGAGGCCTACCCTCCGCCTACCGTCCTGTGGTTCAAGGACAACTACACCCTGGGCGTTTCCAGCGCGGGTGAAATTGCCCTGTCCACGCGCAATGTGTCTGAGACCCGGTAAGCAGCAGTCCGCTCACTCCATTCTTGAAGTATTGTTCTCTGAGGCCTTTAGCCACTCGACAAACCTAAGCCCCGCCTTTCCTGAGAGCCTACTGTGCCAGGCGCTAGGGATGCTGCAGCGACCACAGCAGACAGTTCCATCCCTCCTAGAGTTTCTAGTCCAGTGGAGGAAGCAGGCGTTGGTCAGATGATCACCCAGATGTTTAGTTATCCTTGTGATGGGTGGGGCCTGCAGCCAGCAGCCAAGAAGAAAAAGGCCATATGACTGGGGAAGAGGGTGCCAGATCAGCCACTCAATGCTGCTGCTAGCCCTGAGGCTAGAGGTTAACAGACAGCTGGAGACTGAGATCCGTTAGGATATAGCAGCCTCAGGCCTTTCTGAAGGGGGGGGGGAATAGGGCTTCCCCCTCCCAAAGCTCCCTCTTGGGTTAGTGGAATTGCCTATGAGTGGGGATTTGGGAGATTGGGTTTGAGATTTGTCTCTGCTTTTGACACCTACATGACCCTGGCAAGCCCTTCCCCTCCCTGCCTGTACCAGGCGAATGAGGAGGGCCCTAAGAGTTCTTCCAGCTCTGACAGCTGCCTCTCTTGCTCCCTCAGGTATGTGTCAGAACTGACACTGGTACGGGTGAAGGTGGCAGAGGCTGGCCACTACACCATGCGGGCTTTCAATGAGGATGCTGAGGCCCAGCTCTCCTTTCAGCTGCAGATCAATGGTGAGACTTGCGTCCCTCCCCACTTCACTTCTTCTCCCTTCCCTGTTGGCATTCCTTCTCCCTTACTACACTGACCTCTCACGCATAGGAATGGGTGAGATGCTTCTTTCTCTGCCCCCTACAAGCTGTGTCAGGCTATGTGACCCTGGGAATCAAATGAGAGGTGTGCATTTGGCAATATAGGTTCCCAGTTCTGTGATGGGAGTGCCCCCTGCTGTTCAGTTGGGGAACCATAGAAGGCGCTGGAGAGGCAGCTGTAACTCAGGAGACTGGGTTCTAGACCACTGACCCACTGCTGTGTGAACCAAGCATGACCCTTCTCTGGGCCTCAGTTTCCTCAGCTATACAAGGCGGGCATCAGGCTAGACTGGTGTTTCCAAAACCTCAGGCATTTATGTACTAACACCATGATTTTTTGTGACCACTTATACTGTACTAATCCACATACTACTTATGCTATACTATTAACTCAATAGGTATTTACTATTTATTTCTAATGCTATTTATTGAGCAACTACAATGTACCCATCTGTTCAAGGTTCTTGAGGCCTTCCTGGGCTTTGTACAGTCTGCATTCTAGTGGGGAAAGATAAACATTAAACAGTGGAGGAGGAAATCCCAGCAAATCATGTAGGTTAGAAGATACACACTGTAAGAGGGAGACAAAAGGCAGGGGAGGGAGGATTGAGAGTTCTGGGCAGAGGATTGGTGAGTGTTGCACTTTTACATACAGTGATCTGAGCTGGCCTCATTGAGGAAATGACATTTTCAGGAAAACTTGAAAGTAAGGGCATTAACTAAATGAACATTTGGAGCAGGGGGACCCCAGGCAGGGCAGTGGCCAGAGTGGTGGCAGAAAGGCCTGCGTGGCTAGAACAGGAGGAAAAGAGAGTGTTGGGATGAGGTCGGGACAGAAACAGGGTAGTGGGAGGTGAGGGGAGGGCAGAACATACAGGTCCTCATGGGTCTGCTAGGAACTTTGGCTTTTACTGTTTCTGAAATGAACAGCTATCACAGGGTTTTGAGCAGAGGAATGACAGGATAATGACTTAATGTTTTGTCAATTGACTTTCTAAAAATAAATGTATTTTGAAAGACAAAATTTAACCTCTCAATCATACATGGAAAATCGGCATCACATGTCATAAATATAAAGCAACCACTAAAATAAACTCAGAGAAAACAAAACAATGCTATTAAATTCTAGCTCAGTGAGCCTGGCTGCCCTGGGCTCAGAGCTGGAGGCCTGCTCTTTCTTTGTTAAAAGGGAAGATTAGCAAGTCTCAGAGAGGTGTTAAAGATAGACTAGCACCCTACTGAGGTCTTCCCTTTGAAGTACTCAGAAAGGGAATCCATCACTTTTCACAGAGTGATTTCTGGTATTTAATGTTCACCTGAAGTCTGCAGCCCCGCTTCCCCAGGAGACCTCTGGGCTAAGTCTTCCTGGAAGACTTATTCTGTTGACTGTCTATTCTGACCTCCCTACTTCCTCCTGACCCTGTACCCTCTCCATGCAGTCCCTGTCCGAGTGGTGGAGCTGAGTGAGAGCCACCCTGCCAGTGGGGAACAGACAATCCGCTGTCGTGGCCGAGGCATGCCCCAACCCAACATCACCTGGTCTGCTTGCAGAGATTTCAAAAGGTGAGCACACCTGGGCCTCAGCCTCCAGGGGCACCTACAGCTGGCTGGAAAGACCCAGGGAAGGTTATATTCCAGGCTTTTCCTCTTGGCATATTGTTCCAAGCTAGAGTCACATCTTAGAAGGCCAATCCAGCACCTCCTTGGAGATGCTCTGTATAACCTATATGCTCCCTTTTCTTTACCTTGATTCCCGGGCTGCTGGTGGCCCAGCACAGTGCAGGATCTGTGTACCATCCAGTAGATCTATTCTGCACTCCTGGCCAAGCTAATTCTAGTATAGTGAACAAAGGCAGGACTGAGTGCAGATGCTTTTTCTTCTGCCCCCTACAGGCTGTGTCAGGCTGTGTGACCCTGGGGATCAAATGAGGGGTGTGGATTTGGCAATATAGGTTCCCAGTTCTGTGATGGGAGTGCCCCCTGCTGTTCAATTGGGGAACCACAGAAGGAACCAGCTCAGAGCCAGGGAAGAGGAGATAGAAGGAATTGGACATGCCTTACCTCCTCCACCACTTCGTGGTGCTGACTGCTTCTGGTTCCCATTTCCCTGTCTACAGAGGGGAGGGTCTAGAAGCCAATCCCACTTCCTCTCCTGGCAGGTGTCCACGTGAGCTTCCCCCCACACCACTGGGAAACAGCTCTGAGGAGGAGAGCCAGCTGGAGACTAATGTGACTTACTGGGAGGAAGAGCAGGAGTTTGAGGTGGTGAGCATGCTGCGCCTGCAACACGTGGACCGGCCGATGTCAGTGCGCTGCACGCTGCGCAATGCTGCTAGCCATGACATGAAGGAGGTCATCGTGGTGCCACACTGTGAGTCTTAGTAGCCCTTGGCAACCCTACCTCCACTCTGGCAAACTTGGGTCTGTGCCGTGTCCCCACAGTGGGCCAAGAGAGTCAGCATGTTCACGGGCACACAGGAGTGTCATAAACCCACCAGACTATTTTCCTATGCACATACGTGACACATGTGGGAACACATATACTAGCAGTACTCTATAAACCATTATGTGAATAACACTCTCTCCTGTTCCTTCAACACAGGTGCAAACCCTCTGTGTGTAGATTTGCAAACCTGTACTAAAGAATGCCCAGTCCCCAGGCAAACCCATAAAGCTAGAGTGTATGTCTGTAAACATGTGCTCAAGTGTGCACCATACCTGTCCCTGTGTGTAAACCCACCTACTGTATGTTTGTAAGCCATGTATGTGAGTATGCCTAATCCCCAGACATGTGTATAAACCTACAGAGCAAGTGTCTGTATACATGTACTTGTAGGTGCACAATTCCCACATGTGTGTATGAACAATGCATGTACAATTCCTGTGCGTATGTGCAAAGATGTAGTTACATGCTTTCACACCTTCCTGGAAAAGTGGACAAGCACAATCTTCATACACATAAGCCTATTATGCAATGTGTGCCTGTTACAGGTCCATATACATGTGTGATTCTTGCACATATCAACAGTGCCTCCCAGTGCCCAGATGCTTTTGTATATCTACTTGCCCAACCCTGTGATGCATGCACCTGTATGCATGTGATATGCTTCATTTATCCACCTGCTTCTTCATTCAGTAGTCATGTGGACCCAAATTCTCACTGGAGTATACAGGTCAAGGGGCTGGCCCTTGGCTGCCCTCCTGGTGCCCACAGTCCAGAGAAAGAAGATAGATGAAGAACAAGGCAGTCCCACTCAAGATCACTGTTCCATGGGAAAGCCTGTAGGGAGAAGGGGCCCCATGCCATGCTGAGGGATTCAGGAAAGTATCCTAGAAAAAGGAACCTGTGTATTGAAACCTAAAAGATGACTAGGAGTTAGCCTGGTAAAGAATGCTGTTCCAGTCAGAGGGAATAGCCAGTGCAAAAGCCCAGAGGTAAAATGGGTTTCAAGAAGTTAAAGGAATCTTAGAACTCTGGGAGACCAAGGTAGGAGAATCCATTGGGCTGAGGAGTTGGAGACCAGCCTGAGCAAGAGCAAGACCCTGTCTCTACTAAAAACAGAAAAATTAGCTGTGCGTTGTGGTGATGCCTGTAGTCCTAGCTACTCAGGAGAGACTCACTTGAGCCCAAGAGTTTGAGATCGCTGTGAGAGAGCCTGACACCATAGTACTGTAGCCTGGACAACAGAGGGACACTCTGTCTCAAGAAAGAAAGAAAGAAAAAGGAAGGAAGGAAGGAAGGGAGGGAGGGAGGGAGGGAGGGGAGAGGGAGGGGAGAGGGAGGGAGGGAGGGAGGGAATGAATTAAAGTAATTCAGCTCAACCTGGATGGAGCATAGGGTAGATGGATATTTAGGGGTGGGTGATGGAGCTACAGGAGTAGGCAGAAGCCAGAGCAGGCAGGGTTCTGAAGCCCATGTGAGGCATTTTTGACACCTGCAAGTACACTCAGGCAGGTCTGTGGGAGTGTACGTGCATGTGCCCATATACACAAACCTGCCTCCTGTCCCCTGCCCCGTGGGGAACAGGTGGACTTCTTTAATACCCTTATTGCACCCACACTCCCACACATGCACACATATCCCTGAGCAAGTGGCTGTCTGGGTGGACAGTGTGGACAGTGCAGACAGTGACATCTCAGATGTCTCTGAGTGAAGGCCAAGTCATGCTCTCAGGTGACTGAAGCCTGAGGGGGAAGCCTTGTACCACTGTCTAGGGCCTGGGATAGCTACGTGGAGCTCCTTCACGCCTGTAGAGAGGGCTCCCTAGAACATGCAGGCTTCTGCCTCAGAACCAGGATGTGGACTAGTGGGAAGTAGGAGGAGAGGAGTGACGTTGGGCTGCAGCCCTAAGGAAGAAGGGACAGGGAGAAAATCCAGAGAGGAAAGTGGGAGTTCTGGGGAGCAGAAAAGGGCAGATAGGAGACAGAGGAGGAGGGAGGGAGTTCCAGGGGACCTCATGGATGGCCAGTGGGGCAGGGCAGGGAAGATATGGGTCTGACAGGGGTGGATAGGAAGAGTGGGATGGCATGGGAAGCTGTGCGGCAAAGAGAACTTGGGGTGAAGGAAACTCAAGGCTCCATCACTACCCCAAGCCCCCTGGGTCCTTGGGGTGAAACTGGGGACGAAGCAGGTGCTTTCTTTGGTAAGGATCCATCAGTCTGCAGGAACTCAGTCACTGTGTCTCAGTGGTCACTCACTCAGTCCATGGGCCACTCAGACATGGAACTTAGAATGTGACCTCCCTAGCTGTGACAGCCCCTAAAGAGGTGGACTCAGAGGAGAGGGGAGCCACAGCCTGGCCCTCAGGGGTTCCTAGACTAGTGGGGAATCCAGGCAATGGGCAGGAACTCAGAGAAGGATATTTGCACCCAGTGTAGAGCTATGGCAGCAAGGCCAGTCTGACCCTGGCAAGGGCTGAAGAGATGAGGAAGCTGGCAGGGGTCTGAGTTGGGGCAGTTACTGAGGGGCATGGGTATTTCTAAGAGAAGCTGGGGCTGTGGCCCAGAGCAGGAGGCTGAGGTCTGACAGGCTAGTGAGGAGGCAGGACAGGCACAGAAGGATCTGTGGTGCCACTGTGGGAGTGAGGGGAGTGTAGCTGCCAAGCACCCTGTTTGCTCATGGCCTGCTCTTTTCTCTGCCTCCAGCCCTGCCCTTTAAGGTGGTGGTGATCTCAGCCATCCTGGCCTTGGTGGTCCTCACCATCATCTCCCTCATCATTCTTATCATGCTGTGGCAGAAGGTAAGCCCCACCCTGGCCTGATGGGTACACATTGACACACCACTATTGTGCACAGAGCTGCCTGCACTCCTTGAATACTGCACGATCTGGCCATGTGCAGGGCCCAGCACAGACTCAGGTGGAAACCTGAATAGAGTGACACTGGGTGTCTGGGCTGCCTCTATGCCCACTCACTTGGGTTGACACGGGCCTGGCTCAGGCCATCCAGCTGCTATATCCCCTAGTCCCTAGATCCTGCTTAGGCGTCATCCCTCCACACCACCTCCATGCCACCACAGGGTGGACCCCACGGGCTCCGGAATTCTTCCAGCTCTCACTCACAGAGATTCCCGTGACTCAACTGAAATGCATTCTGATACTATTCATTGATGCTTTCAATGTTCTGTCCTGAAATTTCACCATTCTGTCACTTCAACATTTTAATATTCCTGAATCAAGCTTGCAACACCTCATGATTCTATCAGTCTAAGATTCCAATCCTGTGATTCCAACATCCTGTGATTTCAACATTCTAAGGTTATACCTTTCTGAGATTCCTACCAAGACTGGCCCAGCATGGGGAAAGATCAACTGCACCCAATAGAGTTCTCCTATCTGCTGTAACTTCCTGGGGCTGCCTGTTCCTTTCCTCCCATCTGAGAGAAGCTGGGAGGAGGTTCTGATGAACCAGGTCTTTGTAATAGGCTGTTCCTCAGCCTGCCAAGTCTGAAGGCTCCTCTGTCACTTTGGGCCCCCCATTCCCTATTCCCTCTGAGCCCATGGAGGCTTTGGCTCAGTTGAGCACTTGATGTGTAACTTCAGATATTCCCCAGCCCCTCTCTGAGCTTCAGGGTCTCCTGACCCTTCGGTCCTTTAAGGAGCTGAATTTAATGGGCCTCCAGCCCAAAGAACCCCTCTGGTGATGTATTCCTGATCTTGGTCCTGCAGAAGCCACGTTATGAGATCCGGTGGAAGGTGATTGAGTCGGTGAGCTCTGATGGCCATGAGTACATCTACGTGGACCCCATGCAGCTGCCCTATGACTCCACATGGGAGGTGCCACGGGACCAGCTTGTGCTTGGTCAGTCTTGGGAGGCCTCACTTGGCAGTCTGGGGACTCAAGACAGGGGGGAAGACTATCAGAGGTCAAGGCCCGGCCTTGCCATGACCAGCTATGAGACCTAGGCCTGGTGTCCTATCCTGTCTTCTCTAGCCCTCAGTCTTCTACTCTGTATAATCAATAAGTTGATCCCCCAGTGAATGTCCAGCACTGAGGTCTAGGACCCTGTGACTTGTAAGATGGGAGCCCTTTGTGTCAAAAGGGGAGGTATTGATGACAGGCTGAGTACCAGGCCTATACTGGTCTAGCTGGGGAGGCTGAGGGGCTGCAGAGGAGCTGTGCTCTCCTGGGAGGGAAGATGACTTTCCAGGCCTTAAAAATGGGGCAGAACTTAGATGAAAAACTAGGAAGGACTGGAAAGCATTGTGGTTATAGGAGTCTCTTTGAAGGGAATACTGTAAGTCCAAGGTGGTTTGAGGGATATCTAGGTTGACCTAAGGGAATGGCAGAAAGGATGGGGTATGCAGCTTCCTGGTGGGCCCAGAGCTAAGGGTCCATCTCTGCCACAGGACGTACTCTTGGCTCTGGGGCCTTTGGGCAGGTGGTGGAGGCCACGGCTCATGGCCTGAGCCATTCACAGGCCACAATGAAAGTGGCTGTCAAGATGCTGAAATGTGAGTCTTTGGAACCCTCTCACCCAATCTGGGCCCACACCTCTCCCCTGGTCCACTTCCTCCACCCCAGACATTCAGCCTCTCCCAGAGCAGCCCAATGTGATTCACCAGCACAGAACAATAGGCAGTCACACATGTAGGCAGCACCAGGCCTGATTCTGATTTGGGAGAGAGGGTTCCTCACCCTAGTCTCCCAGCCCTGCCCCTCCCTCCCCCACCTCCCACTCTCTCCCCTCCCCAGAATGTGGGTCCTCACCCCCAGGGTGGGGCAGAAGAGCAAGAATAGCCTCTGGTCAGGGTCTCTATGGAGCCTCAGGGACTGGGCCTGGCATAAGACCTCCTTTTCCTTAGCCACAGCCCGCAGCAGTGAGAAGCAAGCTCTCATGTCAGAGCTGAAGATCATGAGTCACCTCGGGCCTCACCTGAATGTGGTCAACCTGCTGGGGGCCTGCACCAAAGGAGGTACCAAACCCACTCCCCAGAGGGCTCTGGGAGGGCACCCAGCTGGCCAAGACCACCCCCTCCCTGTACCCTTCTCAGTACACTTCAGCTAGGGTCCATGCCCAGCCTCTCTGTACCCTCATTTCACACTCCCAGATGGGGTGGGATTAGAAACTCACAAAGTCAGAACATCTTCACAGCCAAAGGAGTCTTCAGGTCACCAGTCCCAGTGACTGGCGTTCTCTGCTGGTGGCGCCTGTAGCTTAGTGAGTAGGGAGCCAGCCACATACACCCAGGCTGGCTGATTCAGAACCAGCTGGGACCAGCTAAACAACAATGACAACTACAGCAAAAAAATAGCCGGGTGTTGTGGCTGGTGCCTGTAGTCCCAGCTGCTTGGGAGGCTGAGGCAAGAGAATAGCTTAAATCCAAGAGTTTGAGGTTGCTGTGAGCTGTGACACCACAGCACTCTACCGAGGGCAACACAGTGAGAAAAAAAAAGTGTTCTCTGAAATTTTTTAATTTTTATAATACACTTTGAAAACTATAATAGCTCAAATGACACTAAGATGAGTTATACATGTATTTTCACCACTGCAGACCACCAGCATGCTAATTGGGAACTACTTTCATTCACATTGTAGAAGAAAGCCTCTTTGGCCAACTGTGTTTATTTAAAGCTCTGATTACAGGTTAGATTGAAAAAAAAGACTATCGCCATTTGCAGCTGCTTGTTGTGAGATTTGGGATTTTCCTCAGTATTGTGCAACCAAAACAAAATACAGAAGTACATTGCACACACAGACTAATTTCTGTCCGCAAAGATCACTCATTTCAAAATGTTTGTTTCCATCAATATCTTCAAACTCTCACTGATTGACTTGAAGTAAATACATTGTATTTGAATTTTTTTGTTTTTTGAGACAGCGTCTCAAGCTGTCGCCCTGGATAGAGTTGCCGAAGCGTCGCAGTTCATAATAACCTCAAACTCTTGGGCTTAAGCAATTCTCTTGCCTTAGCCTCCCAAGTCGCTGAAACTACAGGCACCCGCCACAATGCCCAACTATTTTTGTTGCAATTGTCATTGTTGGTTAGCTGGCCCAGGCTGGGTTGGAACCTGCCAACTTCAGTGTATGTGGCTGCCGCCGTAATGCTGAGCCTGTATTTGAATTTAATTTAATAAACTGATAATAATAAACAGTTGCTTTCATATGCTTTATATACTGGGCTCCAAAAAGTTTGCTTTAAAAACATATTAATAACAGCTAACATTGTGTGCTTACCATGTGCCAGACCAACAAAGACATTCTCTGGTTAATCAGCCCCTTGAGTGGGTATTATTAGCCCCACTTAAACAGATGGGGAAAGTAAGGCTCAGGGAGACTAAGTACCTTGCCAGTCACAGAGGAAAAGAACCCAGGTTTACAAGGCACCAAGCCTCTTATCCATCATGCCAAACTGCCTCTCCCACATCCAGCCTGTGACTAGTCTCAAGACCCTGACGGGAACCCTGAGGGCTCCCCAGGGACTGCTCCTGACCCTGTCCCTCTACAGGACCCATCTACATCATCACCGAGTACTGCCGCTATGGTGACTTGGTGGACTATCTGCACCGGAACAAGCACACCTTCCTGCAGCACCGCTCCGACAAGCGCCGCCCACCCAGTGCCGAGCTCTACAGCAATGCCCTGCCCGTTGGGCTGCCCCTGTCCAGGTACCGGGAGGCAGGCCAGGGACTTGAATCTCTGGGACACCTGGGAGCACCTACTCACTCCCTCCTTGTTCAGAGAGGAAGCAGAGGCCTGGGAAGGGCACAGAATCACTCCTGGTGCCAGGGCCGTTCCACAGGTCAGCCCAGCCTAGACAGGGGAATGATGGTAATGGTAGCAATAGTGGTGGGGTCTGTCCCAGTATGCAAGGGCCTGTGCTAAGTCCTCTTCAGACATGACCCCCTTAAGCCCTCACACCATCCCTGTGTCATGTGTGTCTTGCCCTCCTGTCCCAGGACACATGATGCAACCAGGCACTGGCCTCCCCGCTACTTGCACGGTGGTGCCCCAAGCTCTGCCCCTCACTGTAGATCTCCGCTGCCCCTCAGGCAACTCCTGTTCCTCTTTTTCAGAAAGAGCACGATCTTAGCTCTTTTGCTGATTACAAAAGCAAAGATAAGAGTAACTCTGGAAATGCATAACAAAACTTTAAAACTCACCCTGTCCTCTTCAACATTTCAATCCATTTCCTTCCCATCTTTTTCCTGCCCATAGTGACACATATGTGTATAGTCCCCTAGCTCTTTGGAGAGTTGATGCTGCAGGCAGAGGTAGTAAGGCAACTCCTTGCTGCCCAGGCTGGGCTGTGGCTGGGTTCTCACAGGCATCATGGCTGGGTGGAGCTGGAGAGGCCACAGAAGGTGCCTGGGCACACACCTATCTCGTGACCTTTGTTTTTTGGGCACTGTAATCACTTCTGGATGTGAGCTCTCTGGGCCTTATGTCAACTTGGCAACCCCAGCACCCAGCTCGGGGCCCACCAGACTAGTGGAAAAGGTTCAATCTTTGATCATCCATATGGTAACAGACTGAAAGAGGAGGAATGAGTGGCGGAAAGAAGAGTGTGTGAGTGGCAGGACTTTGTGGGCCCCCAGGGGGAGCAAGGACAGGAGGGGAAGGGAAGGGAAAGCCTGCAAGTGAGATGCTGAGATGCTCCTCTCCCCCCAGCCATGTGTCCTTGACTGGGGAGAGTGATGGCGGCTACATGGACATGAGCAAGGACGAGTCAGTGGACTATGTGCCCATGCTGGACATGAAAGGAGACGTCAAATATGCAGACATCGAGTCCTCCAACTACATGGCGCCTTATGATAACTATGTCCCCTCCGGTGGGTGGACACAGTGTCCTCACACCTGCACACATTCTGCATGCCTTTTACATGCCCAGTTTTGTCACAACCATGGGAAGAAGGGGGCTTTGTCCCCATTTCATAGATTTGGAAACTAAAGCCAGCTTCTTGGCCAAAGCTGCTGTGTAGTGAGCCCTATCTGAAGCATTATTTATGGGTCCAGAGGTGTACACACAGGCCACAGGAAGGGGAAAGCTGGGGTGGAGGAGGACCTGGCCTCTGGGGGCCTTATGGATAAGTGGTCCGCTGTGAGCTGGCCCCAGGCTGGCCTAGTGTCCAGGCAGGCCAGGCTAAGTAAATGTGACCCAAGAGCTAATAATGCCAGGGTTTTTGGCCATTGAGAGGGCACTGGTAAGAGTAGAAGTGAGAAGTGCTCTGAGTTAAATATCAGGAATTCATTCTGCTTTGGGGGAGACCTAGAGGATCAGTCGCCACCTGTTTCGGATAGTTAGGCCCAGGAGCCAAAGGGCAGGGGTTCTGGGAGCAATGAGAAGATACGAGATAGTCAGTGACCCTGTGCTCTTGCCTAGCCCCAGAGAGGACCTATCGGGCAACTTTGATCAACGAGTCCCCACTGCTTAGCTACACAGACCTCGTGGGCTTCAGCTACCAGGTGGCCAATGGCATGGAGTTCCTGGCCTCCAAGAATGTATGTGTGGCTGTGGAGGGAAAGGATGGGGGCTGTGGGGAGGTAGGTCGTTCAATAGCCTGAGTGAAAGTACATGGCCACTCTGGTGGGCAGGGACAGAGTACCCTTTCACCTGGGCAGCCCCTCACACTGGGAAGTGATGCATTTTTCCTAAAGCCCTTGACACGGAGGGTCTTTCCTCATCATTGTCCCCATGGCCTCAACTCCCTTCTCCCCCAACCCAGTGTGTCCATCGAGACCTGGCGGCCAGGAACGTGCTTATCTGCGAGGGCAAACTGGTCAAGATCTGTGACTTTGGCCTGGCTCGAGACATCATGCGGGACTCAAACTACATCTCCAAAGGCAGTGTGAGTACCTGCCTTGGGCCTGTGGGGCCATCAGCGTGTGCTGGCTGATCAGTGTGGCCGCAGCTCATAAGATATGAGTACCAGGCTCCATGTGGCCTTCCCTATTAGGGTGGTGGGCTATGCCTGCCCAGACATCTGTGAAGGTACAGGAAGGGGAGTCGCCCCATTGCACATGGGGTGGAGGCAGCAGGGATGCGCACATCCACTCATCACAGCAGGGGCGAGGAGCCAGCCATGATGGGGCCGGGGTGCAGGGAAGTGGGGCAGGCCAAATGTGTCATTCCAGCGCTGATGGGCAGAGGAAGAACCCAGGTGACAGAGCAAGACAGATGAGTAGGACACAGGAAGTAGTTGGGACAGGTCCAAGTGAAGCATGACCATCCTACCTCTCACTTAGCCCCCCACTTTCCAGTGAATGCCAAGGGGAGGGATACTAGGTCCAGGGGTGGAAGGCAACCATGATGAGAGCTGGTGGTACCATGGCATGTCCCTGGCTCCTCCACCCCTCTACTCAGACCCTGGGGCTTTTTCCCAGGGACTGGAGCTGCTATGTCCCAGGGTCTGAGTGAGAACAGAAACTGCCTCTGATCCTCTGGCCATCTCTGGGGAGGATGTGGGAACTGTATGGGGAAGACTGGGGCCCTTAGAGAAGCAGGAGTGAGCAGGAGCTGAGCCTCAGGGCAGAGTGGGGCCAGGGTCCTGGCCTCGCCATCCTTCCTTACATCACCACCTGTCCTCACGTCTCCACAGACCTTCCTGCCTCTGAAGTGGATGGCCCCAGAGAGCATCTTCAATAGCCTGTACACCACCCTGAGTGATGTGTGGTCCTTCGGGATCCTGCTCTGGGAAATCTTCACTCTGGGTACACTCACTTTTCCCTGCATCCTCAACGGCACAGCATGGCATGGGGTCTGACCACTTACACCTTTGCCTGGCGGGCTGTGGGAAGGACCCTGGGACAAGGGTCAGGGATCTGGTTAAAGTCCCTGCTCTGCTGCTTGCTCCCTGCTGTGTGACTTTGACACATCTTTTGCCCTCTCTGAGCATCTTTATCTCCCCATCTGAATATTGAGGGATTTAGATGGTGACATCTAAAAGCTTCTTGGCTTTGTGTTCACTATTCTGGGGAGGGATGAAGTCCCTGTCCAGAGCCCATGGGAGCCCATGTTTCCCAAAGCCAAGGGCATAGCCCCCTCACCTACACTAGAACCAGCATGCCTCTCTTTGTCCTATAGAAGAGGGTTCCTCACCTCTTTGCCACTCCCCTGAGCCTATGTGTCTCTTGTCTCTGCTCCTTGGCAGGTGGCACCCCTTACCCAGAGCTGCCTATGAATGAGCAGTTCTACAATGCCATCAAGCGGGGTTACCGCATGGCCCAGCCTGCTCATGCTTCTGATGAGATGTGAGTGCAGCCTTGTGCATTTGGGAGGATTTGGGGGGATGCAAACAATAGATATCCAGTTCTACCAGCTTAAACCAAAGATAGAGTTATTAGCTCAGAAATCAAGAAAGTCTAGGCATAACTGAATTCTGCTGTTCAAAGGATGTCACCAGGAATCTCTTGCTCTAGCCCTGAGCTCTGCTTTGCCCTGTACAGCCTAATTTCCAAGCTGGCACTGCCCAAATGGCTGCCAGCAGTGCCAGCTTCATGTCCCAGCGTCAGCATGGTAGTTCCAGCAAAGATCCCAGAGCTAACTTTCAAAGGCTCAGCTGGGGTCACACGCCATCCAGAACCAGCCATTGGGCTGAGGGGATGCAAACCTCTGACCAGACCTGGGTCTTGTACACATGGGGTGCTGGGAGGGCTCACCCAGGGAACCATCCAGAGGCAGTAACAGGAAAAACATCCCCACCCCTCACTTTGTCCTGAGAGGTGCAGCCCCAGCTCCTCAACCCAGCCCTGGCCCTCAGCCCCCATCTCCTGAGCCAGAGCTCCTGACCCCCTCTACCCTTCTAGCTACGAGATCATGCAAAAGTGCTGGGAAGAAAAGTTTGAGATCCGGCCCCCCTTCTCCCAGCTGGTGCTGCTGCTCGAGAGACTGCTGGGTGAGGGCTACAAAAAGGTACGTCGAGGCAGGGTGAGGATGGGTGCAGGAGTCAGACACTGGGTACAACACTCTGTGTGATGGGCTAGTATCTGGGGGACTGCTTTTCAGCCTTTCTGGGCCTCAGCTTCCCTGCCAGTACTAGGAGCTATGAGCTTACTTTATTTTAGCAGCATAGAACTTTGAGAAATTGAATTCTAAGTGGAAGCCGATTGATTTGAGGCAGGGAGAGGGGCCTACAGCCTCACCCTTCCTGCAGCCTTCCTTAGGCCTTTGCACCCATGCCAAATGGTAGGGCTCCTTCAGAGGTGTGAACAACCCAGACTACATGGCTACACGGACCCTGTCTCAGGCTCATCCAAGGCAAATGGAGCCAATAGGGCCCCAGCCCCTGCCCTGTCCAAAAACAGGGGGCAGAGGCAGGAGGAGATGCACATTGCCTTTGGCAGAGACACAGACAGCAACTTCCTTAGGTCCATTTCTCACCCCACTCCCATTGGGGAGATGGACTGGGGACATCACCATTTTGTAGCAAGGGCAACAGCACCCACCAAAGGAGGAGGTTGAGGCAGGATAAGACCCTGTACTTGTCTACTCTGAAGTTGAGGGGGGCATTATGGTCATAGAGCTGGTCCTATAACTGCCCCTCCCTGGGTGGTCCTGAGCTCACCTTGTTTTGTGAGATACTATGGGAGGTAGGCAGGCAGTTCAGCTGTGTGTCTTTGAGCAAATCCCCTTTCTTATAAGTAAGTGCTGGTTGCCTTCATTATACAAATGGTGGGGGGCTGGATTAGATGATTGCTAAAAGTATCTCTGGTCCGGCCATCCCTATCTCTCTGGTTCTTCCTGCTCCACGGAGCAGAAGTACCAGCAGGTGGATGAGGAGTTTCTAAGGAGCGACCACCCAGCCATCCTTCGGTCCCAAGCCCGCTTTCCTGGATTCCATGGCCTCAGATCTCCCCTGGACACCAGCTCTGTCCTCTACACTGCTGTGCAGCCCAATGAGGGTGACAATGACTACATCATCCCCCTGCCTGACCCCAAACCGGAGGCTGCTGAGGACGGCCCCCTGGAGGGTTCCCCCAGCCTTGCCAGGTAACCACTCTAGCCTGGGGCAACAGTATTTATCGTGCACATGTGTGTGTACGTGTGTGTGTATCTGAGTGGTATCAGGCATGAGCAGAAGAGTGAATAAGAAAAAGGTGGAAAGGGTTGGCTAGTAAAGGATGGCTGGGACCTATTAGCAAGACCTTATTCCCTTTAAGGGAGTCCCCATAGGTTATCTACACTCCCCCATCTCTAGGCCCTGTCCTAGCCCCAAGGGGAAGAAAACCTACTTAGCACCCCAGCACCCCAATTGTTACTGTGGGATCACGACCAACCATAGGCCTGTAGTCTTGTCCTGAGGACCATGCCCTGAGTGCTACAGGGACCCTCATGTAGCTGTAGAATGCAGAGGTATCTACAGGGATTCAGGCCAGAATTCAGACGGGAAGGATATTTGTAACTTTCTTTTGCCAAGAAATGTGGTGAAGTTACGATGTACTGCTGGCTGGCTAGGAAAGCCTGGGTTTTGCCTGGACCTGATGTCCAGACAGGATCTCCCCTTAGCTGGAGGGGAGAGAAAGGAGGGTTTCCCATGAGGCCCAACCCAATCCCAAACAAGCTCCAACCCAAGGCGAAGCTGCAGGAGGCCTGGGCTGGATCATAGTCCCAGCTCTGCCACTAGCTGCTATGAGTCCTGGGAAGGCTCCTTTCTCCTCTGTGAACCTCAGTTTCCCCATATTTGCTAAGAGCGCACACAGGCCTTAGAAGGTCCCAGAAAGCCTCATTCTTCTCAGTTTTACATTCCAAGGCCCCAGGTAGACCGTACCCATGAGTCAGGCTCAGAGTTAAACAACCTGGGGTGTGAAACCTGTGTTTTGCACCCTCGGGCCAGCTGCTGCATCCTCTAAACCTCAGTTCCCTCTTCTGTAAAGTGAAAACAGTCGAGGTGCTTCTATTAGAGGGTTCACATGAGGATTAAAGGAGATAACGCGTACCTTTAGGAGTGCAGAGGATGGAGACACTGGAGGGTAAGAAATGAACTTTGGAGCCAGGGGGACCTGCTCTGAGGTCCCAGCTCCTGCTTGTCCCACTGTGTGAAATGGCAGTGATGGGACCTCCCTGAGTGGCACTTTGCTCACTGTAGAGGCCTTGCACAGCCTTCACAGCATGAAATGAGTGACAGTACGTAAAGCACCCGTCGCAAGGTCAGACACAACTCTTAACTGATGCTGTGATTGTCGTGCTAGGTTCCCTCCCAGCCCCTCACTCACTTGCCTCCTTCCTTTAGCTCCACCCTGAATGAAGCCAACACCTCCTCGACCATCTCCTGTGATAGCCCCCTGGACCCCCAAGAGGAACCAGAGCCAGAGCCCCAGCTGGAGTCCCAGGTAGAGCCCAAGTTGGAAGTAGAGCAGCTGCCAGAGTCAGGCTGCCCTGGGCCTCGGGCCGAAGCGGAGGACAGCTTCCTGTAGGGGGCTGGCTCCCACCTTGCCCTGCCCGGAGCTTCCCTCTGCCAGCACTCAGTGCCTCTGGCCTGGCTGGGCCTCCTGTCAGCCAGGCTGCCCTTATCAGCTATCCCTTTCTGGAAGGCTTCTGCCCCTAACACATTGTGCCCCAAAGCCTGGGGCTGGCTTAGGAGGCAAGAGAACTATAGGGGCCATGACCAGCCCTCTGCCTCTGGGGAGGCCATGTGACTCTGAACCAGGCTTCCCCTCATGTAAGATGGGAAAGCTGGGCGTGGTGAGCCACCATCCGGGACCTTCTTCCTGGCTGACAGGTGAGGAGCTTGGAATCCCTGAGGAGAGTCTCCAGGTTAACGAGGCGGTAGATTCATGATTTTCTGTTTGTTGGCCAGCTTGCCCTCAAGGAGCATAGTTTCTCCTTGCACTTTTATGCACCCAAGAGCCAGGGAAGAGACCCTGGCCTCCCTGGCCTCCCTGGCTCCTGGCTGAGCTGGGGCCTGGCCTTGGGCCACGTCACCTCATCTAGAAGGATGCCAGTCTCTCTGTGATGCCAGTCTCTGCTCTCCCAGGCCCGAGCTGGTCTGGGGCCATCCATCCTAATCAGTGCTAATTAATGCTGGAGGCTGAGCCGGGACACCCCAGCCTGCAGTGTTTGCCCTGGGCACTGGGAGCACACCCAGCTGTAGAAGGCGCCTGCATCCCCGTCCTTCAGGCCCATTAGTCCCAGACTTTTCTCCATCACCCTGTCTTAATCCACCTGCCAGAGTCTGCAGGGCCAGAATGGCCTCCATCTGTGATGATGGTGTTGATGTGGCAGTGTGACGTGTCTGCACATATTGGCCAGTATGTGGCCCCAGCTCTGCTTTGGACCTGCCGCGAGACCTTAGAGGAATTCCTCACCCTCTCTGGTCCTCAGTTTTCCCCATTGAAAAATGAGCAAATTGGACTCATTAACTCCAAGTGCTCTGCTAGCATTAACATTCTAGAATATTCCAGGTGGTTGCACATTTGTCCAGATGAAAAAAGGCCAAATATCCTAAGCTGCCATCCGGGGGTCAGCTAGACTCTGGGGGAGATTCCAGATCACACATGACACTTGGGAGATTCAGGAACTGTACCCCTTCCCCAGGCCCCAGCAAGGCCCAAGAATGCAGCTGCTTAGGCCATGACTTGGGGAGACAGCCGGTGTCATGGAAAGCCCCCAGCAGCTGCCCCAGGGACATGAGAAGACCACAGGACCTCTTTCAGTACCCATGATGACCTCTGAAGCTATCCTGGGCAAGGGGGGCAAAGAGGGCAGATCAGCTTCCCTTGTACAACCCATCACTCCAGCACCTGCTGTCCAGGTCTATGCCACAGACAGAATGGACAGGGAGGACAGTTATGTCCCATAAAGGACAAGAAGCTTCAGATGAGTACCTCCAAGAAAGGGGTACAAAAGGTGAGCACTTTGGGGGTTGCCTTCTCACCTGCCAGCTGCCCCATCCCGGAGGCAGTACCCCATGGGGGTATGGTCTTGTCACTGCCCAGGCCTAGTAGTGACACCTCACTGTCCCCAGCCGAGGGCATTGGAGGTGTCAGGGAGTAAGGCTGTGGCCAAGACCACCAGCAGGGAGAAGGCTAGATGGGGGAAGGCTAGGCTGGTGAGGGAAGCTCAGCCCTTCTGGGTTCTAGTCCCTCTTGTAGGTTGGCACCTTCCTACCCCAGGAATCCCAAATCCTGGTCCAAGGATGGGGAGTGGGCTTTGAATACGGTACCAAAGATATAATCACTTAGGTTTACAAGTATTTTTAGGACTCACATTAACTCACATTTATACAACAGAAGTGCTATTTTGTATGCTGTTAATTTTCCTATCTGTGTACTTTTTTTAAGGAAAAGATTTTAATATTAAACCTGGTGCTTCTCACGGACTTTGTAGTCTTTTGTGGTTTTGGGCCCCTTTGCCTGGGGGTGGGGGTGTGGAGTGGGGCAGTGGGGGAAAATGGGGTGTGCCCTGCCACAGCTCCCCAGACAGATCCCTACAGTTCTGAGTCTTATCTCAATCATCTGTAAAATAGGAATGTGCACTCTCCTACCCCTTGCTAGGAGCTGGGTGATCTAGACCTT